CAATGGCAGTCAGCAGGGTTTAAGAACATTTGTTGTTCGACCTGTTGGTCAAATGCGTTTTGTTAAAAAATACTTTTTCACTTTTTTGGTCTTTTGGAAAATGTTGTTTGTGTTGTATTTAGACCCCTCTAACAAGAAATTTGTTTTGCATGCACACGTATAAAAATTGCGGTTTTTATCCAACGCAATCATAGGTTTGAACGTTGTTTTCAATTTCGACTTGTTTATATTTTTTCGCTTGGGCTTGTATTATATTTGCCTCGGGTTTATATGATCCGTTCATCGTATTTTGACTCCTCAAAATTCAAGAGTCTATCCTAAATTGAGGTAAATTGTATGGCTTTCCAAATACCGTTTCGATTCCTAACATCACTTAAGAGACATTAATTGTGGAAATCCGGATATGGTGTACAAAAACCTTTGCACCTTTTGTTTGCGGTATACCATCTTTTCCGCATGTTTATTGTTTGCTGTTTAGTGTTAAAATGAAATTAGGATCCATTTATTACATCGGTGATCCGTTTATTTGGCAATCGCCAATGGCAGTCAGCAGGTTTTAAGAACATTTGTTGTTCGACCTGTTGGTCAAATGCGTTTTGTTAAAAAATACTTTTTCATTTTTGTGGTCTTTTGGAAAATGTTGTTTGTGCTGTATTTAGACCCCTCTAACAAGAAATTTGTTTTGCATGCACACGTATAAAAATTGCGGTTTTTATCCAACGCAATCATAGGTTTGAACGTTGTTTTCAATTTAGACTTGTTTATATTTATTCGCTTGGGCTTGTATTATATTTGCCTTCGGGTTAATATGATCCGTTCATCCTATTTTTACTCCTCAAAATTCAAGAGTCTATCCTAAATTGAGGTAAATTGTATGGCTTTCCAAATACCGTTTCGATTCCTAACATCACTGAACAGACATTAATTGTCGAAATCCGGATATGGTGTACAAAAACCTTTGCACCTTTTGTTTGCGGTATACCATCTTTTCCGCAAGTTTATTGTTTTCTGTTTAGTGTTAAATTTAAAATTAAGATCCATTTATTACATCGGTGATCCGTTTATTTGGCAATCGCCAATATCAGTCAGCAGGGTTTAAGAACATTTGTTGTTCGACCTGTTGGTCAAATGCGTTTTGTTAAAAAATACTTTTTCACTTTTTTGGTCTTTTGGAAAATGTTGTTTGTGCTGTACTTAGACCCCTCTAACAAGAAATTTGTTTTGCATGCACACGTATAAAAATTGCGGTTTTTATCCAACGCAATCATAGGTTTGAACGTTGTTTTCAATTTAGACTTGTTTATATATATATATAATAAGCAAGTCTTAAAGGGTACAACATCACCAAAAAAAAAAATCATGAACAAGTGTTAAATATTTCGGATAACTAATATCCTTCATCAGTAAGATGTCAAATGGTTCTTATCTTGACATGTGGTAGTCACACTATAATAGAATCTTGATCGTTATACAAAATATCACGAATCAATACGCTGGTAAATATTTTCAATATTGATGTTTGGAAGGAGGAATAAATTCCTTTAAACTGTAAGAGTCCTGTACTGAAGCCTGAGTTACTGGAAACAAGTGATGGTAGGGACTTATTCTATGTTTTTACAGATTTGCTCGGGAAAGTTTTTGGATAAGGAAGTTAAGGACAGTTTCCCCAGAGGGCATTAATGAAAAAACATAGAATGAGTCCCTACCATCACTTGTACAGTATTTTATATTGTAGTGTACTGTATCATAATTATATGATCCATCGCCCCGTAAGATTTATCGTTGGCTGTTATTCAGACATTTTATATATATATATATATATACATAACTACTCTACATATCAGCACAACCATGTTAAATCTGCAACTATGATTTGCGCAAGCAAATTTTTGTTCTTCCCTCGCCGGGATTCGAACTCATGCTATTGGGATATCGAGAGTTAGTGTTACCTTTCCTCGTCAGTAGAATCTAGAGTTGTAACACAGTACATGATATATTAGGCATGAAGATTGAATATATATATATCACTATTGTCAACTATTAGTTAACCGCCTTTGTGATCTCATGATTGCGTACTTGCCTTGAATGCGGGAGGTCGTGGATTCGATCCCCGTACGCGTCAAACCAAAGAATTTAAAATTGGTATTTGCTGTCTCTCCGCTGACCAAACGGTGTTAACATGTTAGAATGATGTGTGTCCTGGTAGGGTGTTATGCACTCATGTTGGTTTTGTGAACTAGCACGTTAAAAATCCGACTCAGCGTGTCGGTCTAGTACAAAGCAGGGTTCATATTCATGTCTCGTCTTAATATGCATTTAATTTGCCGGTGGAAGTTGAACAGCCAACTGTTGGTTACTTTGTGAACTTAAATTTTCCTTACATACATTTTCAAATATGTAAACATGAGATACGGGGTAGTTATTTGTTTTTAATGGTGGAAGATCTGTTCGAGTGTTTATGAATCATGGACGACTATGGACATTTATTTATTAAAACTTATATTACTGGTTATTATAATTTGCTGAAATCTTTAGCCTATCGTCAAAATTTTAAGTTTTTTGTTGTAAATATGTTTACATGATATGAACATTATTTCTAAGAACTGTGTTTCGGTTGATTCAAAACAGTTTTGTTGATGTTTTTTTTTTCTTCAAAAATGTGTGTCTTCATTTTTGTCAGTCTTCATTCTGTCATTCTTCCTTATTAGTTTTGGGAATGAAAAGATTTTACTGATTTGAACATATACGAAGCGGTTAATAATAACACGTCCTAAACAAAAATGGACGTGTAGCTTTCAAAATTTTCCACCCATTGATGATTTTATATTATTTTGGTTGATAGAAAAACCCTTAAGCTAAATATATAATAGATAAAGTTAATTCCTAACCGTTTGGTTCATGATTTTTTTTTTTAAATAGTTATATTATTCACATCTTTTAAAATCATGATAGCTTCAACCCTAAATCAATAGAATGATAAAATCTGAAAATTTTAGTACATAAATGATAGTTTTTATGTCACAGTGACGCCAAAAAAAATATGGCCATTCTAATCATAGAATTTGCTAAATTAAGTATGAGCCAAGTTCTTCACAAAAAAAAATAGTAAACTGATAGTACTGACAAATATTTCCGCTCAACAAATGGCCTTCATCAGAGTCAATGTCTCTATCAAATTTGATAGAGACGTTGACATTACGTTCGATAGAGACATTGACTTTACTTTTGATAAAGACATTGACATTAAATTCGATAGAGACATTGACATTACATTTGATAGAGACGTTGACATAACATTTGATAGAGACATTGACATTACATTTGATAGAGACATTGACATTACATTTGATGATGACATTGACATTACATTTGATGATGACATTGACATTACATTTGATAGAGACGTTGACATAACATTTGATAGAGACATTGACATTACATTTGATAGAAACATTGACATTACATTTGATAGAGACATTGACATTACATTTAATGAAGACATTGACATTACATGTGATAGAGACATTCACATGACATTTTTTAGAGACATCAACACTAAAGAAGGCGATTTGTTGAGCCGAAATATTTGTCTATACGATTTTATTACATCCTCTTCGTGTATGACTATCTTGCACATATCTTTAGACTACTATATTTTTTTCCGTATCTGTGCAATTATCGCCTATTATTCTAAACGGTCCGATACATATTAAATTTGCAGGTTCTATATATATAAGTCTGAAAATTAAACCCAACAGTGTTAGAATTAGATTTCTATGCTGACAAATTTTTGTCTACAGCACCAATCGATTAGTCTCATGTCCAGCGCTCTAGACCACTCGACCACATCCGCTATATAAAAATATAACTTCAATAGTCGTAGTGTTACCTTGTCACGTAAGGCGAATCTAGAGATAGACATAAAACATGTGTTTTAGGCGTGTGTAGATGTTATATTATTTTTTTATTACACAATGTATTTTTTATTTGTTAGCAATCTAACTCAACAATTTTTTATATACCGTATGGGATAATGATTCAATTCATTATACAGTCACTAGAAATAAGTATATCATACAAACAAGTTTAAGCAAGTGACAACCATACAATATATATGCCCACTAGATCTCAGTGTGTTTGAGATACAGGGTTAATACAAATATGTATATAAGTCTGAAAATTAAACCCAACAGTGTAAGAATTAGATTGTTATGCTGACAAACTTTTGTCCCTCATCGGGATTTATATCATATATATATATAGTTTTATACCTGACATGAATATTGATTTATCTAATTATTTTATAAAATACATTTTCAAAGCCCTTCTTAATCTACCTTAAATTGTAGGATATGCTGGGGGAGGAATGCACGACCAACCAGGTTCTGCAGCAGAGTATGTCTGTCTGCCACCAAATCCAGACTTTCAGAAGACAAGTGGTTATGATGGCGGACGAATGTATGGTGCAGAATTTCAAACTACCTTTTTGGTACACAGAATGAAGATGTACCATGTGCTGTCTGCAGAAAGACACGTTCAACTTCAATCCTTATGATACCTGGTAAAATCAAATGTTTTAACGGATGGAACATAGAATATAATGGATATCTTGGATCGGGGTACCATGGATTTGCATCCGCATCATCCTATGTTTGTGTTGACAGTCGTCCCGAATATCTGAATGCCGGGGTTAGAGATGACAATGGTAAATTATTCTATCCTGTATTGGCAAAATGTGGAGCCTTACAATGTCCTCCCTATATTAACAATTATCCACTTACGTGCGTTGTGTGTTCTAAATAGTGCAAGTACATGGAAGTGGAAATAAATGTTTACTGCAGCAATTTGGTTTTTCATGAGATTGCAAAAAAAATACTTATATGAGACTCTCAGTCAATAGTCTATAGTAAAATATCACTATTTCTTCTCCTTATTATCAATTTTTATACCAGTTGTTTTTAGAGCGCTCAAGAAATTGTAGTATACTGAAAAAAAATGAGTTAAGCAAAAACTGATTTTAATTCTACATAATATATTTAAAAAATTAATAATATTTTTTATACATAACAATAAATACATTATCATAACAAAGAAAATAAACCATACGGTGCATGTTTTACTCGACAAAAATCTTGATTATAAAATTATATAAAAGTTTTTTTTAAATAAAATTTATTTTGCTGAACAGTATAAAATGAAAGTTGTGTATATCAGTTCATTCATTCGTTTATCGTTCAAATAAAAATATTTCAATAAGCTGGTACAAAAATAAAGTGAGGTTGTAAAACTTTTTTGTGTGAGGATAGACAAAAGTTCAAGCAAGTATACTTTGTATTTGTTTAAATGCAATCAACAGATTTTTTTGGTAATATCGTACATGGCAATGTTTATGTTTTGTTGCCGTTGTTCGACAGAAGTCGCACTTTTTCTTTTTCCAATTCTAATCGTTCCTTTTCCACTTCAAGTCTTCTTTTGTCTACATCAAGCCTCTCAAGTTCTACCTCAAGAAGCTGCTTATGTGTTTCCTCGATTTTAGCTACAATATTCTGTTCAAGTCGACCAAGTGTTGAATTGATTTGTTTTCTTTCTTGATATATCTCTCCCATAGCCATATTGTCCATTTGTGATGTAACATAGTCGTCTCTAAATAATTCAAATGTATATACATGAGCCTAATTGGAAAAATTCTTCCATCTTGCAACAGGAAGGGCTACAGACCGAATATTGATAATTCATCAAATTTAATATTACTTTTGCCTCAAACAAAATGTTGTCGGTTTCAAATAAATTTATGAAGAGACCGCGTGAATCTTGTTAAAAGTGTTGCTTATGAGTTTGAATGTCTCTTTGGTATCTTTTGCCTTTCTTGTTTTATCCTGCTTTACAAATTACTTGCTGTTTTTATTATCTTGTTCATTTTTTTGGGGTTGTCTTGTTCGTAGTTGAAAGTAGGTTTTTAATGGTTTTTACTTTTACGTCATAAGGTCTTTGGATTTGTATATCTCGGATGATGACTGGGAGGGGAGCAGACGTGAAATTAGTTTAACCCAAAAACATCTTTGCCAGTGCCAAATTGGGCTATCTAGGCTATCTCGCAGTATTCGTTATTCGGCATACATATTAGGTAGTTCCTGTTATGTTTATGTTATGTGTACATGGTACTGTATTTTATACATTTTTATAAACCTATTATCTGTGTTTCTTTGATAAATGTTTTTTTTAGTTGCCACTTTGTATGATCGCCGTCGTTTTAGGTGATTAATGATGCAAAACCTTACAATTATACTAGTTTCTCATTTGAAAATAGTGTCTAACTACGTTTTCAATAATTTTGTATTCCTTTATTAAAGCTGATTGCAACGGACAACTTTTTTTCAATAACCTATGTCTAATATCATGTCATTTCAGTTTGAAAATGATAATATCTTTATAAAATAGAGATGTTGTATGGTTGTCAATGTGACAACTTTTCAACACTGTCCAAAAACGTGGATTTAAGCAAAAACATCCTGATTTATGACAAAGAATAAACGAAAAACATTGAACAGACAGCAACCAACGACAACCACTATAATACAGACTCCTGACTTTGGACAGGCGCATAAAGGATGTGGCGGGGTTGAACATCTTTATGAGTGCCCAACCCTCCTCTTCCCGAGATAATGGTGTAACCGTACAACATAAGTACAAATTGTAACACTATGATCGGTGCTAAGCACAAAACACAACTGACATCAAGACAAAAGACAAAAAGTACAGATTTAAACTGAAAGATGGTACATAGCAAATTACAACTTATAAATCAAATCATGTTCTCTACCGAATTCGACTTATTACCGGGTATGTCCTTACATGAGCAGCACGACGGTGACCCTTCCGGATCACCTGAGATCATCCCCGGTTTTGGTGGGGTTCGTGTTGCCCAGCCTTTAGTTTTCTATGTTGTGTTTTGTGTACTGTTGTTTGTCTTTTGTTCTTTTTTGCCATGGCGTTTTCAGTTTATTTTCTACTTTTTTCAAGTATTTGCCATTTCTTAATTGGCATTTCGCCTATTTCAATGCTTTTAATTTTTTTTCGAATTTGAACATTAGCATGGCGTTGAGGGGTAAACATTGCTTCTTTCACATACTATAAAAATATATATAAAAACGTATGCCTTCCTAAATACAATGTAATGCATCAATCTAGACAATCAGTATCCCCTTTAATGAGCAATCTCAGTGATTAATAGTAACCTAAATTGTAATTTTCCTAATTCTCATCCTTTCATCCTTTTTTAATTTGCTTTAATTACCAGAGTTCACTATTAAACAAACTTGTATACATTACCTCACGCTACTGATTATATCTGAGGCATGTTGTGCTTTGTGAGACAATTCTTCAATGTTTTGTTCATCTTCATTTTTTTTCTCTGTATCCTCATTACTTGAACATGTACTACTAACATCGCAGGTGGCCATTTTATTTTCCAGTCCATCTGAAAGTCGTTTTGATTTCTGGAGAAAAAAGAAGTTTTACATATTTATATATTTTTTCTTCACTTGTTGTAACCACGGTGTGAGGTATGAAAATAAGTGGAAAGGGTTAATAGAAATTTAACAAAATAACCAAATCAACGAAGAATAATAACGTAAAATCGGGGCAAATAAGAGTAACCTGCAACAGCTGCAGGTCACGTGTTTCTGGGGGAAAAACCTTCGTAAAGATTAAAAGTTTGGAAAACCCAAAAATTTAAACCATTTGCAAGCATAAAAACCAAAGGTCCTAAATAGAACGAATTAAAACGCAGTTACATAATTTTATGAACTGGAAATTCACAGACAAAATGTTTCATTCCATCATGCCAATACCAAGCACTAGCTACTTGGTTGAAGGTTATCTCGGTGAGTGATCCTGAACGGAGTGTCAAAACGTCTTTCGCTTGTGCATTTCAAGACAAATTCATTCGTTTCTTTCAGTATCGTTATTTAATGACAATATTTTATGAAAAATTGGATTCATTGGTGATGGTATATCTAGGCTCTTTCACAATGTTTTGTTAGAGGATCTTCCGATTTGCTTCTAGTCATAATAACAGGCTGTCGATATGCCAACACTAATAAAAGAATTATTATGAGCAACACGACGGGTGCCACATGTAGAACTGGATCTGTTAACCCTTCCAAAGCACCTGAGATCAACCACGGTTTTGGTAGGGTTCGACATTATAAATATACCGTGTCCCTTGTTTTCCATTCTTCCTAATATCTACAGTATGTAGAAGGAGCTTTCATGTTATATCTCCATTATGTGTACTACACATATTTTCTATTAACCGATTGCCAGAAGAACAAACACTTTATGATGATAAACAGGTATATATCAATGTTGTCCAAAATTATGACTTACTTTTTGAACCACAAAAAAAGAAATTAGGAAAACTAACTTATTATCATTGCATGCCACTGATTGCTTTAGATATGTTTAAACAACAAACAAGTATGAATGTATACGTAGGAAAACATGCAGTTTATATACATTGCAAAAATAAATAGCCGAAATATTTATTTTAACGCCTTATTCGTCAAGCGTTATTGGTTACATGATGGCACCGTTATAATGAATGTTGTTTTACGATTTTGAAGAAAAAACATTGCAGTGCACATGCCTAAGGTCTTCACGACCACCATTTTCACAACGAAGTCTATCCGAATACAAACAAGGATTGGAGTGTATGTTTCTACAAGTCAGGGCGTAGCAAAGGATCATCAGTGTTTTGGGATAACTCGGGACAGTTTCGTTTCTTTTGGCATGGTTTTGAGACATAAAGTGTTTAATCTAATTGAAATAAAATCAGATCTTTAATTCTTCTCCGTTTGATCTGTTTGTCGCAGCATGTAACACGTTGCGATAAACAAGTCTTACGTAGCAGAGTAATATCTGGTTTTGATAACATTTAAGTCATGTCTTAAGACACATAGCTGTCTCGTGCTGTTTCAAGACATTATAGTCCTGTATATGGTCTCTTAGCTTGATGATTCTTACCTCTTTACGCAGATTTTCTAACGAGTTTACTATAAATTCTTTCTGTTCATCTTGTGTAGCTTGTCTCAGTACTTTTTGACTGAAATGTTCTGCCAAAACAAAGTCTTCGACTTCACCTTGATGATGACAAAATCGAACAAAGCTCTTATACGCTTTAAGTTTGTAGCGGGTTGGAAGTTCTTGTTTCTCAAGTGCCATTTTGAAATGATGTTTAGCTTTTTCGGCGCGCGGTGATACCACTGTCATGTACGTTTCTGCAATGTCCAAATGAATGCTTGTTAAAGCTATCCAAGGATCCATTTCTAAAAGAATAGATTCCATTTCACCACAGTGGTCTAATGCTTGCTGTATGTAACGTTCTTTTTCAGCCGGAACTTGCTCAGATAGAACTAAATTACACATGCGCAATATATTCTGTATCATACACCTTTGATAAAGATCATAATTCTTACACATTTTCAAAACCCCAAAGTCAAAATACAGTTTTTCACTGCAAGACTTAATCATTTCATTCATAGTTTCGATTACTTCAAAAGTTATTTCTTTACTTTTCAGTCTGCGCATGAAATAATATATACCACCTCTTTTCGTCAAAATATATCTGACAGAATGAAGATTTGCGTTGATGTCCTGGATGTAGTCTTCAAGGTGTGCGGCAATGTTCAAAGCATAATGGTATTCATGCAAAGCTTCCCTGTGAATCAAATATTCAGGCGCATGTGTTTTGGAATCAGTTGAGCTGTCTTCTTTTTCATCTTTTGTCTCGTCAATAAATACCATGTTTTTACTATGGTTATACATTATCGTTGCGAATAACTCGGCAAGAAAAATTTCCTTAATATCTTCCAAAGGCAGGATTACTTTGCACTCTATGAGCTTCTGTAAACACTGTTTAGGAATTTGGTTCTTTGGAATATCTTCTTCGCTTAGTTTACCGTATTCCCTTAACAACCGAATATCTCTACAGCTTCTATATTTCATCAAAACAAATTTCTTTATCATGTCATCAGGAATTTCTCTTGCTGTTCGCGTCAGCGTTCGAAATAATTCTTTGGATGTTGATTTGATCTCATAATTGCCTCTTAGGAAATCTTCAACGCTTTTTAAATTCACATTACTTTCCTTTAATGCGTCGTATACTTTGAGTTCGTGAGGTATCAGTTTTAACAAAAACAGCTTGGCCTTTTTGAAGAAGTAATCGGCAGATACTTGAGTGTTTCCATATAAATGAAAAGTGACAGCAACGCTGCAACATAAGTAGCATTCAAAAAGTTTTGTTTCAAAGCATTTATCTCCGCCATTTTTCTCAAGACTCCTTAATAAACAACATGCGTGCTCAAGAAACTTTACATTTCGATTCATTGTTTCCGTAAGTCTCGCATCATTGTCAATATAATAACAAAAATGTTGCAATAAAAATAATCGCTCTTCTTGTCTTTTGCTCTCGGATTTCAGTTTGTCTAAGAACCAAACTGTAACGCTATGGATGGATATAATACGAGTGACTCCAGTTCCGCTAATGGCTGCCAGTGAATAGTCGTGTAAAGCAGCTAGCAGTGTATTAACATCGGTTTCTTTTGATGAGGAATCAGATTCTAGCAAGCTTTCGAATAATTGAATAGGAATAATGTTGTGATTTAAATAAGGTATGAATTGCAAAAGCTTTCTAGAACATTCTGGCAAATCTTTCTCTAGCTTTTCTAATGTTAGAATGTATGATGCATCAAATTTCTTACCCTCTGCCGAAATTTCATGTGCTTGTTTCTGCAGGTCCGACCAATTTCTGTTGTATTGACTAATGCTTGTTTTTGTAATTTTAATGTATGATGATGCTAAAGCCAAACATAGTGGTAAATAATCTAAGTTTTTCGCTAACTCTTTGATTTCGTTTATTTCTGTAGGTTCGTTAACATTATCGTTGAGTTTAAATAATTCTATTACCTCTTTTTCCGTCATTTTAGAAACTTCCATTCCGTATTCGTGCGTTAGCATTGGCGAATATCGATGTTGTGATGTGCCTATGACGTATATGTTTTTTGCAATAATGAAATATTCCATCATATCATGAACTTCCTGTGCAGATTTGGGTGATTCCATATCGTCCATTATAATCAAATGTTTATTATTTAAGTACTCATCTTCCGTTAATCTTTTATAAATACGATCAAACATCTTTTTGATACATTCACTTATATCAAATTCGTTGTATCTAATAACTTCGCGTAGGCCCAGCCGTAACATCAAATTTGCATAAGACAAATGTATTTCCCGAGTGGACTTGCAATGTACCCTCCATACTATAGATTGCTGATTTTTAAATCTAAATTTCTTAGCAAAGTAAAATGCATTTTGCGATTTCCCTGCACCAGATGGTCCTATAACAAAGCATAGATATATAAAGGCAACAGTAGTATACCGGTGTTCAAAAGTCATAAATCGATTGAGAGAAAACAAGTCCGGGTTACAAACTCATTACAAATTTATTACTTTTTGTTGGTTATGCGGAATATTTAACTATACCTTGGGTAACTTTGGCAACATATTTCAACATGAAAATACAAAATACTTTTGTTATTTTGTTTCTGACAAGTAGTCTTCTTATTTTTATATTATATGTAAGGCAAAGGAAACTTCAAATGCATAATTGTTAAAGAAGGTGCATGAATTTTAATAAAAGGAAGAAATATTGGCATTTTTAACAGCGCAAACACAGTTATCTTTTCTCTGATATTCATCATATCTTATGAAAATAACCCGTCGTGATGTTAAAAAAGTACTAAATACCAATGGTGGTGTATGATTTCCATTGAAATGAAGAAATAGTTGAACTCTTAATAATCACACACACAAAAATTAAATATCTTTGTCCTTAGATTACTCACATTTTATAAAATAAATTTAACTCATCCAAAGGCATTTAAAACGACTAATTGCAAATAAAAGTGTATTCATTTAAATAAAAAGAAGAAATATTGGCATTTTTAAACAATTCAAACAAAATTTTAATATCTGTATACTTATATCCATAGTATTCTATGAATAACAACTCATCCAGATCTAGATGTACAAAAATTACCAAAATCAAATGAACGATCTTGATTTTTATAAAAATTGAGAAATGTTTGCATTCATGATTAACACAAACAGCGTCGAACGCGATGAATCGATAAAATTAATTATGATAGTATATTATGGCGAACCTTTGACAAGAACTGCTCCTTTTCTGGTAATAATATCCTCCAGTCTTCGCACATTTTCAGTCTCAACAAAGTTCTGAACTATGGTCATTGAATGAGTGGCATAATTTCTTGCAACACCATCATACTCTTGATAGAAAACATCTTTATAAACATTTAAACATTACAACGTTGGTAGTAAACTTCTAGCACATGGCCTCCGGTATTTGAGATTTCAAATTCTTAAATTTTGCAAATTCAACTGTCTCAATGCATAATCTAAATCAAAACATATTTCATATTTCATATATACGGCCCGACTATACATCATATGCCTAGGCTTATGTATTAAATTTGTTTGAAGCAATTTTAGTAGAATTGAAGTATATTCATACTTTTATTAAACATGTTCTATAATTTTATTAGCAAAAAAACTCCCGTGTAAATGCATTTTCATACAATAATATTTGTATTAACGTCATTGAAATTAATTTGGGAGAACTATAGCAAAAACATCCCTTTGCCATTCTTTACAGACCAATAGGGCGTAACCTTAGATTAATATTTGACCTTGAAAATCTGATCTTGGGGGTGAAGGATACTAAATTGATACAGATTGGAAAAGCGGTACAGTCTGTGTAACATTTTTAACGGTACCAATTTTACTGCACCAGGTATGCATTTCAACAATTAATATCTTTTCAATGATGCTCGAGGCCAAAATATTCGAAATTAATAAAAAAAAATCCGAAAAAAGGACTAAGTAATCGGCTAAGGATGTTGACCAAATTTTGACATGGACTTTTGATTTTAGCTGAATTAGACAGTGAAAACTGACAGCTCTATATATCTTTTTGCGATACTTTGTACCAAATTGACGAACGGAATCGCTCCTTTTCCAAACACACAAAACAGACAAACAAATACACACTTAAATGGACAACATCGTTACTATATACTAGTACCCTTTCGGATCTTTTCATCATTTGAAAATAAAAGCAGATATTACTAAATGTGAATTCGACTATAATATTGCTCTACAATTTACCTACCCTATTTCAATGCTGGTTCTCTCCCTTGCAACATACGGGTGTATGGGTCACCCTTGGTGTCAGAGCCAAACAGATAAGGGACAGGTAACCAGTCTAACCCCATCTCTTACATATTTCCCTCCCAAAAAAGGAAGCTATTTATAGTATATATTAAAATTGTGTAAGATTAGAAACCTACCATCCAAATTCGGGATTCTAGGAATACAATCGTTATACTGTCGTACAATTGTAGCTAATGAAGACACTTTGGCATCAGTTAACAGTTTTTCTAGTTTAGTAACATCACTTCTTGTGAAATATTCACGTTTCTCTAAAATTATTACGAGATCCTTTCCGTCTTTAATTTTCTCTAAGATTGCAGTTCCTATTTTTTGGCGAAGCAAAAATTTTATTTCTTTTAATTCATCTGAAACCATAAAAATTGTATGTATATAAAAAAAGAGTATTAACAAAAATACCTAACTCGAAGGTAAATTAAAAAAGGAATTCCATAAAACCTGACAAATCCAAATATTGTAATATTGACATGAAGATTCGTGGAAGTGTTCATTTTGGCTATTTTATATGTCCTTTTTGGTTATAAAGCTCTTGAACTGTTTCAAATATTTGGCTTTGAGCGTTCCTGATGAAGGTAAATCCAGAAAAGCGCTTTGGACGCATGAGATTTGTAAAGTGTTGTTTTAAATTTTTATGATATAAAATGAAGTGTTCCTTGAGTTGATAGATATTTGTTCAACACAAAATAATGGAGGGTATGTTTTTCGATAAAACGACCACGTAATTTTCTTTTTTCACACCAGTTGTTTCCAAAAAAAAGAACTATGGAGCAACCAAAGACTATATAGAGAGATCACCCCAGTTTTTGTTGGGGTTCGTGTTGCTCAGTCTTAAGTTTTCTTTGTTGTGTTTTGAATGCTGTTGTTTGTCTGTTTGTCTGTTTTTACGCAATGGCGTTGTCAGTTTATTTTCGACTTATGAGTTTGACTGTCCCGTTGATATCTTTCGCCTCTCTTGCAGCTCGTTACAATGAAGAAAAAATTATCTGCACCAAGTCATTACTACATATTGTAGTCAAAATAACCATGTTATAATATTATTCCAATTCCTTTTAAATTTGTAATGTCATAAGTATATATATCAATGTTCTTTTATATTTTATCACTTTTGTACATCACTTTTTTTCATTTTTTGAATATATAAATCTGGAAAAATAGCCTCACTCTAACATTGAGACATACATCGAATATAAAGCCCGTGAAGTTTGAGAATGCACTTGCACGCAAAGTTTTTTAACTAGTTATATTTAATAAAAGAGTACCTGTTGTTAGCTCCAGTGCCACTCTATGACACATACTGTCGTAGTCTATATGAAGTTTGGCATCAACTTCACTGTGTTTCTCCATATTTGTTGACCCTGATCAATTGTTGCTGCTACTGCTACCTAGGTATCAAAAAACATTTAATCAAATAAATAGAAAATTGGAAGTTAAAAAAGCTCTCACTTGACAACTGTTGGCAAACATGGTATGATGTTACATATATATCAAATACTAGTAATGGCATTTTCGTTTTTGATACCGACTTTATCAGCAAGAATATCAATAAAGCGAGCAAACTGCACCCATTGGCAGAAAGCGCTAACATATACTAAAAGTTAATAAACATTATGTAACTAGAAAGTGTTTTCCTGAATTTATTTTGAAATATACACCACCATGTACATATATTATTAGTTACACATTATTATAGTGACATATGCACTTGACAAACGAAAGATGTATATTTTATATACACAAGTAAGCCATGTAGTGTAGAGCGCTTGACAGAGTACAGACGATGTTGTCGCGATGACACAGAAGCATGTCATATATTTTAAATCCCGCTGAGGGACGATTAAAACTGTGCTACCGGAAAGCATAACATTGTTGGGCTAAATTTGAAACGAAGTTAATATATACATATAAAGTTAAAGAGATGTGGTATGATTGCCAAAGAGACAACTATCCCACAGAGTTCAAATGATGTGGATAAAAGCAATTAAAAGGTCACCGTAGTGTCTTCAACTATGAGAAAACCCTATATGTTTTGGGTTACAATAATTCATATTTTGTGAAAACCACACTGAATCTACCAGAAAATATACTGAAGATGATATTATCAAAATGCTGGACTTTTTGATCGACAATATATTTGTTGAGTTTGGAGGATTTATATTTCAACAGACAGTCGGTATTCCAATGGGAACTAATTGTGCACCCCTACTGGCCGATTTGTTTTTGTACTCGTATGAAGCAGAATTCATTCAGAACCTTCTAAAAGACAAAAGAAAAAGCACCTTGCGAAATTCTTTGATTTTACTTTCCGATATATTGATGATGTTCTATCATTGAATAACCCATCTTTCAGCCAATACTTACAACTCATATATCCCAGTGAACTTGAAATTAAGGATACTACTGATACTAGAAGGACTGCTTCATACCTTGATATTTTCCTCAATGTTGACACAGATGGACGACTTCACACGAAAATCTATGATAAACGGGACGATTTCAACTTCCCAATTATCAATTTCCCATTTCTCAGCAGTAACATACCCTCTGCCCCTTCGTATGGTATTTACATATCTCAATTGATACGTTATTCTCGTGCTTGTTCACACTATACGGACTTCATATACAGGAGTGTGCTCCTTACACAGAAACTGCTCCAACAAAGTTATGAGGAGGACAGATTAAATATGACACTCCGTAAATTTTACGGACACCATCACGAATTGGTTAGTCCATACGATGTGTCTTTGTCCAAACTAACTAAGGACATTTTTACCACGTGTTAGATTGTGGTTTGTCATTACGTCGTCTGATCTTTTAATTACCGAACGTGACTTATTCCCGATTGTGACTGTTTTGCTGAGTGTGAAACCGCATTGCTATAAGACGTGTCACAGCACCTTTCTATCCCAAATTCACTTTGTGCGTTGATGCTTTGGCTAACTCGGCTGTGTATTTTTATATGTTGGATTAAGTTGTTTTATGTAATGTATCCGTTTTTATTCTGTAGTTAGTCCCCACTTCGATTTTATCATGTATATCTATTATATAGTCATTTTATAAAATTTACTGTTTGCAAAATTATAAATTATTCTAAATAATAAGGATGTTCTTGTCCCAGGCAGAAAACCCTAGCCGTGTTGGGCGCAGCTTTTTGGAAGTTTTGGTCCTCGGTGCTCTTCGGCTTTGTACTTGTTTTGGCTTTCAAGCTTTTTTCATCTGAGCGTCACTGGATGGTCTTTTGTGGACGAGACGCACGTCTAGCGTACTGAATTTTAAGCCTAGTTCCTTTTGTTAGCTATTATTCGTGTGTTTCTTTGTCCTATATGTTCTCCCATTTATTTGCATTGTGGTCCTGTCATGTGATGTCGTCGTTTTGGTGTTGTGTTTGACGTTGCCATTAAAGCGGGAGGTTTGGCATGCCACAAAACCAGGTTCAACCGACCATTTTTTTTCTTAAAATGTCCTGTACCAAGTTAGGAAAGTGGCCATTATTATATTATAGTTCGTTTCTGTGTGTGTTACATTTTAAAGTTGTGTTTTTGTTGTGTCGTTGTTCTCCTCTTATTTTTGATGCGTTTCCCTCAGTTTTAGTTTGTAACCCGGATTTGTTTTTATCTCTATCGATTTATGAGTTTCGAACAGCGGTATACTACTGTTGCCTTTATCTATACCTATACTTAGCTACTAGTATAAAAGGCCTCCGACAGGTAAAATTGTGAAACAATTTAAACGAGAAAACAGTTATTTTAAAGCACTCTAATTGCTTACATATACCATATTTTTTAAGTTTCGTACCTGATTTTAGGTCATGATATGTACATATGTGAGTAATCATGATAGAAAGAAAGATGGCGTAAGGAGTGAACTTTTATTTGCAAATTGTTGCATTTCTACAACTCTTCAGTTATCACTCAAAACTGCAATTTCATACAATAAAAGGAGCAACAATGATGTCAATCCCAAATTCAAATTATTATAAGCTCCTGAATGCATGTTTATTCTCCATTTTATTTACTGAGCTTGTTCGAAAGGCTTTTTCCTTTCCCCATGCCAATTTTTCGAGTTACAGTTCGTATTCATCTCTACAAACTGATCAAAAGGTGAATTGTTGTTAGCCCATTGCAAGTGAAAGGTTGTTAGTATGAAGCAAGTGCAGTTGTATAACAAGTATTGTAACCATCCAATACATGTAGCATTGATTGGCTTTCTTTGTCATAGCGAAACCGTCTGTCTTACTCACAAGATATTCAACTGTTTTTCATTATTTTTCCAGACACTTTTTTAGATTATTATAGTGTGGCATCATCTTTACTGAAATTTGTTGTCAAAATGAACGTTTTTAAAGAATATAGACCATAAAAAATAAAGTCTAGGGTACGGCAACTTGCTCATGTTGACAAATTTACTGTATGGCAACTTGTTTTCAACTGTATGGCAACTTGCTAATTTCAAAATATTTATTTGCCGTCTTTTTAAAGAAAATAAAGTATTAGGTTCAAATATCTATTTATGCATTTGATAAAAATACAATTCGCTTGACACCATTTAAGATGTATACACAATATAAGGCTTGAACACAGTCCTATTACATCTTTTACATACCTGATGTATACAATATGAATACGGCATATACAAAAGCTGGCAAATGTTGTAACTTTCGGAAAGGCATGTCACTGTTTTACTGACCTGTTGTTCTGCCCTGACGTAGCGTTAAATGTTACCAATGTCCGTCCGACCCGTCTCTCCCGTCTGTCCAGAAAGTCCCAATAATTGGTTTCCGTTTTCTAACTTTAGTATGCCTTAACCAAATGTTTTAAAACTTTCACGAAATTCTTATCACCACAAAACACAGATCAAGTTATAAATTGGGTAGCGTCACTGTTAGCATTCTTGAGTTATGCCCTTTTATAAATGAAAAAAAGCTAAAGCTATCGTTTCTGTTCTCAAACTTTAGATTGCCTCAACCAAATGCATGTTTTAACCATACAACATTAGTCAGCATTTGCATATAAGTGATGAACATTTTGGGGATGGGTTGTGGGTGAAGGGAAGGAAGGAGGTGATGGCAGAAAAAAATTTCCGCATTGAATATTTAGAACCATTGAGTGAATGAATTCTCTTTCAACTTTCAGATAAAATGAAATATAAATGAATTATCATTCTCTGCAAAAAAAAAGTTGTATTGCTACACCACGGCACCATGTTAAGGGATGTTTGAGTGCTCACAAACATGTTTAAGCCCGCCTCAATATATATATGTGTCTGTCCCTGGTCAGGAACATGTAATATAGCGACTGTCGTAAGTTGCTGCCTTACATATTTGTTTATGATTTTGTCATTAATCAGGCAATTTTGATACGGTATGGGTTTTGTTCATTGTGAAGTGTATAGTTACCAATAGTTGGTCAAATCTATTTCATTTGGACTTTGTTTGAAAGTCCTCTCAGTGAAAACCATTCCACGTCTCCTTTTTCAATTAATGTTATTGTCTTATTTGTAAAAGGCAGATACAGCCAATATATTAGAATAAAGAACATTAATTTTCTAAAAAAAAACTTCATCTCTATAAAGTAAGAAATGAACAAGCTCGGTGGCTAACACTGTTTAAATTTAAAAAAAAATATTAACCATAGATTAATCATTTTTGGAAAGAATGAAAGAAGAATCCGATACAAGGGATACAAATCCGGCTGTGGCTACGGCATAAACTATTTATATAAACTTTCTACTTGAGAATATAGATGACCTTGTATGAAGTTTTTTTTTGGTTGTCATCTTAATATTATATACTTATTAATACAATTCACAAAAGCTAGCACCTTCGACTTGTAAGTTTAAAGAATTATAATGAAATAACATCTGATAAGGACAGGTCTAAATATTTTTGAATCCTGATGGTGCATACTCATAAATTCTTTTGGAAAAATCCACGTAAATTTAAATGTTGATTTGATAGCGTTCATTTATTTATTTGCCCTCGTAAACAGTTTTGTTAAATTACCGAAATCGGTAAATTTCTTATCGTGAACGAATAAGTCGGGTACACCTTTTTACATTCAGACGTGCTTAAGTTGCACTTTTTTCTTCGTATTAAGAAAAATGATTTTAATTTTAGCATCTATCTAAAGATTAGATTATTTACACACACACACAAAAATAGGGCTTACTGTTGATTTTGAAACTTTATGAATTCACATTTATATTCAACCAAACAGATAGGCCGAGATCCATACCTTTATAAGTTTCAAAACAGAGAAGGTGTGTTTGAAAATAAATAATCACGTACTGCTATATCTTTTAAGGCAAATACCAGTCTTACTTGTATTAATTATATGATTTTAAAATTGGCACAATATCACATTAAAATTTACTGAGAAATATTATA